TTTTTTTTCAAGTAGAGCAAAAAAAATTAGCGTCGATGGACGGAATCAAATTTAATTCATTTCAAGTAGCCGCCTTTTAACGAACATGAGAATCTTCGCAAGACTCCTACGACTCTCGTTGCCTACGGACAACAAACTTCGAGACTGAACTTAAAGATGAATTTAACTTTTGAAAAAAAAATTATGATTTATTAAGTGCCTAACACTGTTGTCATTTGCGAAATTTAATTTTTATCTGCTTTCTTTTTCCTCGAACTTGGTTGACGGTTTTTAATTTTATTGATAAGCTCGGACAGATTGGGGAAATAATGACGAATGATTCTCAAGTTTTTGATTTCTAAAATTGCCGGAGGATGAATTAATTTAAATTTTACGAATTAATTCATTGTCGTTAGCTTTTCTGTTTGAGAGTAAAAGTTTGGTCACATCAAGGGTTAAAATTCCTATTTCGACTAAACTTTTATAATTATTTGGGGTCTCTAGACGGTGTACGTAAATAATGAGTGATATTTTGTTTTTATATTCTTTCAAAATTTCAATTAGATTTTCTGGTGTAAATGGGTTATCGTTGTTTGATCTATGCTTTCTCAAAAAATTAATTATACAATCTTACCAATTTATATTGTTTTTCTGTATCGTACATTTTGGGGAATTGCTTAAAAGATATTTGACAGTCTTTTGTCGGTTATTTGCATTCAAAAAAAAACTTAAACCTGAAATTGCTTTGAAAGTGTCGTCAAGGCGTTATTGTAGAGTTATTGGTAAAGTATTTATGGAGTGATGGAGAGAACTTCCAGCACTGATGAACACCATTGACAGTGATAAACGATACGGTTGTTTTAATGGCAATCAACTTAAGGAGTCTCTTGTTGTAAAGTCGTCACATGTATGTGAAAACAAAAATTATGACAAAAATAACTTTATGAACCTTTGGCTGAGGGCTTCTATGGTTCTACTAAGGCTTCGGCTCAGTACTATCTAAATTAACGCGTACGGTTTATCGGTTAAACTTAACGACGCTACGGCGAAACTGTTGTAGTAATTGTAGCGGCGATATGCGGCCGAAAACGGGGCGAGCCGAGCAAATTTTTAAAAATTATCCAACCACTGGAGGAAACCGAGGTAGGAATTCACTGGCTCGACACGATTGACGGTTTTAACAGTTGTACGTGCGAGACGATAACGGTGTTTTCCGGCTTTGCCCTAAATTCGGGCAAGAAAAAACTTTGTGTCAAAATTTTTGGGTTCGAGACTCTCCTGGGGTACTAGGGTACTGCTTATGAACTAGGTTTAGGTATCTAGTACGGTCTTAATCGGTTTAAAATTAACAACATTGTATGAAATTTTGAAGCAAAATTTAAAATCTACAGATCCTAATAATGACGAAAGAAACTACCAATCATGGCACTTATAGGTCACGTTATAGCACAATTTGTTTAAGAAACGGACAAAAAGAGGTTCGATCTTACAAGGTAGGAAGGACAGCTAAATAATGCCTGGTTCTCTTGAGCTTGACTGCAAGCTTTCGTCTAGATGCCGATTTCAACCAATTGGACTTTCGGTCGATTGCGCGTTTCTTACCGCATGTACTTTTGGCGTGGTGAAAGTATCATCATTTCTTCATAAAATTGGGTTATCAGCAACAATGATTTGTTCATTAGAAAGTCCTCACCTCGCCATCTCAGTTGTACTTGGTGCAAACGAACGATTCACTCAAACGTACTTTTTTTCAATTAATTTCTTGAGTGCAAATAATAGGGAAAAGCTGGGGTTCGGCAGGAAGATATCTTGATTCTCGAATTTGTGAGGTTTCTGTTGCCCTGTTGAAACTCCCGAGTCGCGGCACCAAAATATTCTGCACAGTTCATAAAGTAAAAACAAAACAGAATCGGTTTTAAATCCACGAAATATGATCGAAATATTGTGAGGACATTAAACGTATCAAGCCAAAAAAGTGGGGTTGATCATACGCTGATAAGGTGATTTGTGATTTTCACAATGAAATCATATTCTGTTCACGCAGTTGAAATAACAGAAACTCAATTGCAAACCAATTTTGAACCAATTAAAAATTAGCCTTTTATGTTTTATCAGGTTCGGCTCAAATAGGGTTCTCAAATGAAACGACTTAGGTGAGAATCGAACCCACGCCGAACTCCCCAGAACGCACTATGTATACGCTGGGCTATATAGCTGTTTTTTACAAGAGACTACACTGGTTTTATACTATACTTTCAACTTAATGCTATGTAGTATTAACAGAAAAAAAAACAATTAAATATCATTCGCGTGCATTTAGCAGCTGATCGATTGGGAAACAAAAGTATATGTCAAGTTTATTACTAGGTTTCCAAATCGAGCAGCTGCTTAATGCACGCGAGTGGTTCTTAGTTCACTCGCTTTCGCGCTTTCATTTTCAACTCAAAATTTGAATTACCAAATTTATTCATTTAGGGGGGGGGGCACAATTTTGTTTTCGGTGCTTTGCCCACAAGTTTTTCATCCATTCGGTCCTTTGCGCGTGAGAATTGTCCCCTAAGAGGACGCTACACGCAATTCTCAACGTTTTGGGAGGGTTCTCATGCTTGAGGGACCGAATGCTGGAAAAATTTCAACCAATCATAATCGCTAGGGGTTCCTGTTGGCTAAATGCTTTTCTCAAAAAAATCGAAGTCAATATTAACCGAAAATGTATTAAATCAGAGGAAAATAATCAAAAATATTACAAATTGCAGGTTACAACCGTAATAATATTCAGATGAACATCAAGATTTATGAGTTCAAGTCCATAAGAATTTTTCATTTTTGAAAACTCATCTGCTTTTTATCTAATCGGTCAGTATTAACACTTATGGCCTGGATTTTTTTTCTTACTTTGAGATTTTCGCGATTAACTTTGAGATTTTGAATACTTAATTCTGATTGGCTGAAAGTGAGCTAAAATTAATTGCAAGCATTCTGTCCCTCAAGCATGAGGGACGCCACCTCAACATTTTTTTCTTTACTTAGGAAATCTGGATCTACTTAACAATCTCCCCCCTTTCAAGAAAGAGGGGGAGATTCTTTAGTTGGTACAATAGGGGGGGGGGATTGTTAAGTAGGTCCCCAGGGATCAACTTAACAATCTCCCCCCCCCCCCCCCCTCCCTTTCTTGAAAGGGGGGGGGGGGATTCTTTATTAGGTACAATAGGAGGGAGATTGATTAGTAGATCCGTCTAAATTTGAAATGTTTTTGTTGGACGATATCATTGGGATGTTAAAACTGAAACTCAGAAAAAAACTTGTTTGAATAAAAGTGAGGTCTGCGGAAATAAACAATCAAAAATGATAGAATTAATTGCAAAAAAGAAGCAATTTTGAATACTCAATTCTGATTTGCTGAAAGTGAGCTAAAATTAATTGCAAGCATTCTGTCCCTCAAGCATGAGGGACGCCACCTCAACATTTTTTTCTTTACTTAGAAAATTTGGATCTACTTAACAATCTCCCCCCTTTCAAGAAAGAGGAAGAGATTGTTATGTAGATTACTTGCAGCTGATTTTCGACCAATCATAATGCAGTAAAATTCGAATTTACATACAACGCTTTAGCGCGAATTTACTGTTTCTATTTACAGGAGTGGAGATTCTTTAGTAGATACAATAGGGGGGGGGGGAGGGGAGATTGGTAAGTAGATCCGAAATTGTAACCCCATGAAATCGAACTGCTTATTTTACATGAAATAACGCTAATGGATCAAGGTAAGATCCTCACCCCATTGTTCATTTTAATTTAAATGCTCTATTTTAAATGCTTTATTCTGATTGGCTGAAAATTCGAACTCAGAACCAAGTTAACATCCTCCCCCCTAAATGGAATTGGGGGGGGGGGGGGGGGGGGGGGGGGGGAGGATGTTAACTTGGTCCACGCTAATTTGTCGTCTTAATGTCCTGCCGTCTCATTCACCTAGCAACGGGTAGTCGGGACTTTCGGGGCTTTGGTCTGATATAAATGATATACGAGCAGTGCTATCTTCTTTTAAAGTCATCTACTTTTATAGTAGTTATGGGCCGCATCATAGAGACCAGCTTTTTTCTTCAATTAATAGTTCCTCGAAAAAAGATTACTTCAAGAACAATTGCTTGCATCAATAACGATAATTGATTTAGCAGCTGGCAATTAATTTTTGACCACTCCTCAACGGTGGCTATCCAAATACCCTGTTCCTCTCCCGGATGCGAGTAATCTTGGGGTTTTTCCTTCCCTCCCCCAAATTTTTATTAGTAAAGTTTTCGTTCACATTGTCCGATTGTTGCACATTGTCACATTGTTGGAATGCTGTCTTAGCCCTGTCTCAAACATAAATCTTCTTGTTTATCTTATCGTTATATCACCAACGATGCTAATGTCGGATTCTGGAGAGCCGTGTTTAGATAGTCCTGTAAAATGTTCATATCCAACATTTCGACCGCGTTCGGCTCTTTTTCCTTTTCCCTCCCACCTGCAAATTTTTACATGTAAATTTGTTGACCACATTGTCCGATTGTTAATTTACATACAGACCAATATGCCACGACAAACATATTTGATCTTCGTACTTAACCTCGTAAAACCACTCGTTACACTAATAAGTTGAAACTGGAGTGAGGTGCGGGAAAAGGCAGAAGAGCCCCTCGTTCATCAACTTTTTCCTCTCTCAAAGAAACAAATTGAGATGAAACTTTTAAAATATCCTGGTTTCTTTATTTGAATTCTCTTATTTGTTATTTTTTCAGTCATTCATTGTATTTTACATTTCGCTCGCCGTATTATTTAGTTCACTTTCACAACGTTATAACCTTTTTGGTTCACTTTCTCAACATTTTAACCGACAAAATGGATTGAATTGAATTCTTTATGCTGCAGTTCTAATTTTATCACTTGCAAATAAGGAAATGGGAGCGATGTGCATTTATGCGTAATTCGCTGAAAGTCTTCATCATATCGCTGCGATTTCCTTTTAAGGAAAGACTTGCGCCTTTGCTTCATGGAATTAGAGCTGCATTCAAAGAATCGCTTCAAAATAGTACACGAAGATAGAATAAGTCCCACTAAGCATCATTTGTGCAGTTGTATCGCTTTTGAAAAGTTGCTATTTTTGCATTTGAACGAATAACACTCACTTAGAATCCACTAATTCAAAATGTGCGAAGAAGATGTTGCCGCTCTTGTCGTCGACAACGGATCCGGAATGGTGAAGGCCGGCTTTGCAGGTATAACAGAAATTTTGCATAACTCGTGCTTTTCAAATCCACAACCAATTTTTAGTTTTGGACCTTAACTAACTGAAAATCAACTTCGTTTAACATTTTGGGGAAAACGTGAATTTATTTATTCATAAATATCGTTTTTTTTATCGGCTAGAAATTGCGTCGGCTTGGATTGCTCGCAACTAGTTTTGTTTTTTATAGGGCAATGAACCTTCAAAAACTAATGTGAATGATTTCGATTTTCAGGTGATGACGCTCCCCGAGCTGTCTTCCCCTCGATCGTCGGACGACCCCGTCACCAGGGTGTCATGGTTGGCATGGGCCAGAAAGACTCGTATGTCGGAGACGAGGCCCAGAGCAAACGAGGAATCCTGACCCTCAAATACCCAATTGAACACGGAATCGTCACCAACTGGGACGACATGGAAAAGATCTGGCATCATACTTTCTACAACGAACTCCGAGTTGCGCCAGAGGAGCACCCGGTGCTGTTGACCGAAGCGCCTCTGAACCCGAAAGCGAACCGAGAGAAGATGACTCAGATTATGTTCGAGACATTCAACTCGCCAGCCATGTATGTTGCAATCCAAGCCGTGCTTTCCCTGTACGCTTCGGGACGAACCACCGGAATTGTGATGGACTCCGGGGATGGTGTGTCGCATACAGTGCCCATCTACGAGGGATACGCCCTCCCCCACGCAATCATCAGATTGGATCTTGCTGGACGAGATCTCACAGGTAAATATTAACTTTTAATCATCAATCAAACAAACCAGTTCTTAAAAAAGCACCGCACCCTAATTGAGTGCGGACCGAACCCTAGAATCTAATCAACGTTAAAATGGAAAACTCGAATTTATTATTTTAGATTACTTGATGAAGATCTTGACGGAGCGAGGATACTCGTTCACCACCACTGCCGAGCGAGAAATTGTGAGAGACATCAAGGAGAAGTTGTGCTACGTTGCCCTGGACTTCGAGCAGGAAATGCAGACTGCTGCTTCCAGCTCCAGCCTCGAGAAGTCGTACGAACTTCCCGACGGTCAGGTCATCACGATCGGAAACGAACGATTCCGATGTCCCGAGACTCTGTTCCAACCCGCTTTCATCGGAATGGAGTCGGCAGGTGTTCACGAGACGACTTACAACTCAATCATGAAGTGTGACGTCGACATCCGAAAGGATCTCTACGCTAACACCGTGTTGTCTGGAGGTACCACTATGTTCCCGGGTATCGCAGACCGAATGCAGAAGGAGATCTCAGCCTTGGCGCCGCCGACCATGAAGATCAAGATTATCGCTCCTCCTGAAAGGAAATACTCGGTCTGGATTGGTGGTTCGATTTTGGCTTCCCTGTCCACTTTCCAGCAAATGTGGATCTCGAAGCAAGAGTATGACGAGTCTGGACCTACCATTGTGCACCGAAAGTGCTTCTAAATTCGACAACCCAAAAAACAAAAACATGATAGATACACATCCCTAGTTGCTCAAACAATTATCGCGCATTCTTCGTATGAAAGAAATATGTGATCATCTCAATGTATTTTTGAATTCAAAGACAGTGTTATATGTAAAAAAAGTTCGGAAATTACCGGCCTGTGAAAAATGCTCTAAACAGTTGATCTGACCTTTGTACTGAATCTAAACTTGTTTCATTCCTTGTTTTCCAATTAAATCAAAGTTGACCCACAAACATTTACCAACTCATCTTGATGAAAAGCAGCTTTGTATTTAACAAAACCTAAAATTGAACAAAAATAAAGGCAGGATGAATCACATAAAAGTCTGGATCTTTTCTAGAATTTTCTCTTCGGCGGGTTCGAAAATTTGATCATGATGATCGAAAAAAATTTATATCAAAGAATTCTCAGCGCTTTTGATGAATAAAGAAGCTCAGTTAAAAGGTTGGGCCGTATAACAGGAAGGACCCAAAATTAGAAACGATTTACCGATAATTGAAATCATTCTATCACTCAAACCTGAACGAGGATCGCGGAGGCATTTGAGCCAAACATTCAAACAACAGGCACTAAAAGCTTAAAGCACTTGCAACACAGCAAGTTATATGAAAAGAAGAAACACTGTAAAACTAGAATAGACTGTTACTGTCTAAGTTGCATTGAATATTCCGATAATAGTCTTTAAAAATCTAGATTTTTGAAAATTGTGCAGCATTTTCTGCGTGGAGTGACTTGAAAAGAAGGAAAAAGAGCCGAAAAATCATTTCTAAGTTTGCAATTAATTAAAGCAAATAGGAGACATAACTAAAATTTGCTATTTAAGTTTTGGAGGCGGAGCAATAAGCAGATTGATCTAAGAGCAGAATAGGGCCAAGCGCAGAAAAACAAATTTTTTTTTTCTTTTTACTGATTAAAACGGTATTTATAATACAATTATCAGAATCGTCAATAGTATGAAGAAGATGAATAATTTCAAGTTTTCACTAAATTTTTTTTCAAATAAATTGATCAAATTATGCGTAAAATATAGTTTTTTTAATATTTAAAGCGTTTGCCCTAAACGTCCCCAAATCAGATTTGGCCTTTTTAATTAAAATTGATGTGGTTAAATCTAATTGGTGACAGTCCCGCAGTTTCGATCAGTTTGGCTAAAATTATCTGCTAATTTTTATCTGCTGGAAATAATGATTGACACGCCTGGGCCGTGTTACTAAAATTTGTTCGGCTAAAATTACCCAATCAGTTTCGGCAACATAAATTTCAACTCAAGATATAGAAATATTGGTGGCCGGTTTTTTTTAGCATTAAACGGAAATGTAGGTATTTTTGCAGACTTAGAGTGACAGCTTTGTGGCGGTAGAAAAAATTGCGCGTAATCTGGAAATGAGTTTCCATTATTAAGATACTCATTTCATGGTTTCAAAAAGGCTCTGAGCAAAACAAGACTTCTCGTATCAGGGCGAAGCCTTGAATGTTCCGACTGCCTATGCAGGTCTAGGGAGCAGTAATAACTTTTCAAGTGATCGAAACACAAAATAGCATTCAACATCTCCAAAACTAATTTAGTCGAGTAAAATTATAGTTTAAGTATAAATAAACTATGGCCAATAAAAAAATTACTTGAAAGTTACTGTTAATGACCCATAAAAAAGTAAATGACCAATTAAAAAGTTTACTCACCGCAGTGAGTGTATGTAAATAGTTAACGTTCAGCAACCCATGTCGGATGACATTCAACTTTGGAAAAAAATAAACAAACAAGGTTATAAGTTAAGTTTGGACTGGAGTTTATATAGTATAGTCATTATGGGACTGCTTGAGTTTTATAGTTCACGGCGGCCTTTTTCTCTCTATCTCTCCTTTGTTCTTCGTGTGTTGTCTCTTCTTTCTTGATCACGCTGTCTTCTTTACCGTCTTTTATTTCTATCAACATTACTTCAGTAGTTTCCTTGTTTGGGCTATCTACGGGGGAATTGAGATCTATTGTCTGCGTCAGTTTTTCTTTCTGTTTCGGATTTAAAACCTCGAGTAAATTCACGCACGCTTGGAATTCAAGTGATTTGTCCGTTAATCCCATTTCCTGGATTAGGCTTTTTAGGCTCGGTTTTGTATTTGTCGCCGTCGTGCCTGTTGGTGATTCTTTGCTGAATTGTTTTTTCTTCTGGACTTTTTTTCTCAATTATAATGATTGAGACAGGGTTCCCGAGTGCCTTTGCTAGTGTCGACTGACAATTTTTTTTTGATTTTCTGGTCGGTTTGGCGATCGCTATTGGAGGTGTCTTCTTTTGGTTGAGCCGTTTTGGTGACGCTGCAGAGTTTTCCGTAGTTGTTGACGACTCTTTTTCTTCGCTGTTTTTGTTTTGTTTTGTTATCTGTTCTGTCTTTCTCACTTGCTTTTGCTTCCGGAAGCTCATTCCTCGCGCGGGTGTTCTTGATGTTGGTCGACCGCCAGTTCTTTTCCCTGTTGATTTTGCCCGTCTCTTCGTTGGGGTACTTTGTTGTCTTGGTGCCTTGTCTTTGCGTGATAATCTTTTTGTATCCTCCTTGAACATCGGATATTGGGGGCGTTCGGCTGCTCAATGTTTAAAAAACGTAGGTTAGGTCCGGATCTCAGTGCGGATTTGTTTGCGGCAAAATCACTTAGTCTTGAGGGCCTGCAAGGACGGTATATCATAGGGTTAGGGAAGAATGCGAATCCACTAAGTCATAGCAGTCTGGGTTGTTTACCGAATGTTTGGACCCAAGAGGTGCGTAGTGTATAAGTCAAAAAATTTTGTCGATGGTTTTACGATTATGTTCGAATTTTTTGGATCTTTCGGTTTGTTGCTAAGCGTCTAATTTTCCTTGCCATTTGATCTATTTGTTTTTTGATGTTTTTTCTACCGTCTACTGAACTCCCTTATATCTTGTGTTTAGTTCATCCTTATCTATTGCTATCGCTCGTCTGGTTTCAACACCTGGTGATTGCTGTTTTTGGCTTAAGGACGTGATTGCTTCCACCGGTAAGGGTCTGGAGATTGTACTGGGCGTCGCTTGACGGCGAATTCATCCTCTGACACTGTTTTTAGGTCGTACATAACTTCAGCTGGAATGAAATTAGCGGTTGTGTTAGGTTCCGATCTAAACAAGCGTCTTTTGCGTTTTCCCTACTTAGAATTTTAGAAGAGCTATTTGAGGCTAGGTTTGAGAGAAGAGTGTTTGATTTTAATCCCTTGTGAGCTTCAGATAGTGAGATTTTTGTTACTCCGTAGGGAGAGTTCGAAGTGTTTTTAAAATTTCGGCTACGTCCTATGCTAATTTATACGGAGTATTGCTTTTGTCTATTCTCATTATCCCTAATCAACGTTCTAGTGTTTGCATCTTTCTTTCAACTATCTCCTATTGATCTATGATTGTTTACCGGTGCGAAAAGTAGCTTGATGTTAGTAGTGTTACAGAACAGTTGAAACTTTTTGGCTCGAAATGTTCGTGCTTGGTCACTTTTAATCTTCAGGGTACCCCATTATTTGAAGTTGAAACTTTGCATAAAATTTATCTCAAGGTCTGCCGTTGTGTTTGAAGCTACCTGTGTCGTTGGAAACTTTGACCACTGATCAACTGCAACCAATATGTGTGCATCCTTATTAAGTTCATCGGAAATGAATGTTGTTTTCCTATTAGTGGTTTTAGACTCTTACCTTGTTGGGTGCATTGCCGACAATTCTGTGCAGTCTGCACTATGTACGGGTGTATGTGCGGGAACCGATTATGTTGACACAGATCCAAGATAGCTGCTTGTCGGGGATGTGTTAGGTGGATGCTGTCTAACACTATTTGGCGGAGTTGAGTCGGGTTCATCAATCAGTAGGCAGTCCTCTCGCATTTGCAGTCAGTCCCAGAGGTTGTACCAGTATTAACCGTTGGAGATCTTTATCGCCTCCTAATTGCGTTTCTTGACAAAATTGAGGAGTGGTTGCAAGTTTCTATTTTCTTAGTGGCGACGGCGATGATTTTTATTCCGAGGACTTTCTGTAGTTTCCCCCTGAAAAGCGGCGTGTTTCTTCCATTTCTGTATTAGTCTCCTGTTCGAGTGTTGCGACCAGCCTTTCCGTGATTGATTCATGACTGACTTCTATTTGTGTTTTTCCATAATTGGGGGTTCGATGTTGGCTAGCAGCTCATCCTGACTGCACTGTGTTGGGTCCACGCGGTTCACACAGTGCTCGTACGTTTCGTGTACTTCTTTGGAGAGTTCAGTTTCTACTGATGATGAGATCGTGAAATTCTCTATCAACGAAATGTGCGTGGGTTTTCGTTTTTTGTTCTCTTCGGCAGTTGTTTCTCGATGCTGTTAGTGTCGTCGCTAAAAATATTTTTCGGAAATAGCTATTGTTTTTTGGATGGGCCCATTAGTAGCTCTCTAGCGTCCTTGACTTCCGGCTGTGGGGGTATTTGTGGAGTTAGTATGTTGTCTGTCGTCTGACTTTCATTTGCAGTTGTCACTGTTTTTTGGCGATGTCAGCATAGATCTGACAAGCTCTCCTCACATCTGACTTGACTTGTCCTGCAATTTCGGTCCTTTTCTGCTTCTGGCGTCGAGGGTGGTCACATCCCCCGGGAGAAAACGACTTTCCCATATAGATTTATAGATATTTTTATAGATTTATAGATATATAGATTTATAGATATTTATAGATATAGATATTTTTCCCATATAGATAATATCTGAAGTGTTCGATGGTCCAAACTACCCCCTAGTAATTCAAGTTCGTTTACTGAGTACATTTCTTCTAGCGAGTTTTAGAATTGTGACGCATAAGCTATTTCCACCCAACCGTCCTTGGAATTTCGCTCTAATGCTGCCCTTAGCCTGATGTTGATGCATCTCAAACCACGCGGGTTTCTAAATTTTGATTAAAAGGTTTATTTTGTGTTATGTCTGAGAGTAGTCTTAGGATGTAATTGAATGCTACTTTCTAATCAGGTGTCCAATCGAGTGATTTATTCATTTTTGTTTTTCAGGAATGTGCGCAGTGCGGCAGCGGTTTGTGCTAGACGAGGAATATACCGTGTGATATGGTGTTTTGAGCCCATGAAACTTTTTAGTTGTTTGAGTTTTTTGGTGGGGTTTATTTTTTACTTGCTTTTGATACAAAACCACTCATATTTTCTGAATGAGTGGTTTTGTATCCCCGCTGTTAATGTTATATCCTAACCAC